CTTCATTGTAAGGGTGGCCAGAGCCTGGAATAGGCTTCCCAGAGAGGTGGTGCTCTCGCCTTCCCTGGAAATCTTCAAGAGGAGACTGGAAAGGCACCTGGCTGGGGTCTTATGACCCCTGCCACTCCCAGTGCTCCTTCCTGCCCATGGCAGGGGGTCAGACTCGATGATCTGTCTAGGTCCCTCCCGACTCGGTGATTCTATGATTCTATGAACATTGCTAACTACAGAACCAGACAGTATCAATGGTTTATGACAGAATTCTTGTCATTACCACTACAAGCAATCAAATGCTCTTGAATCTGGAGAAGAGATGGTTATAAACTTAATTAAAACCTGAAAGGTTACAAATGATTAAGAAGCCTAGAAACCTAGAAAAATTAACTTCTGCGGATGGGTTCCTCTGCCTCAATAAGATTTCAGTATAAGAGGAAAATGAAAACCAACTAAGATTAGAACTGCCCTTTTATTGCCTAACTGATGACATGAAATGGCCTTAATACTAAGGTGATCTTCTGTTTTGTTCTCTTGCCATTAGATTAGATGCATTCAGTTTAGAACTGAACTTAAATACATTCATGTCCGTGTTCTTTCCCTGTCCTCGTATCCTGCCTCACCTTTACCCTGGCTCTGCACGTGTCTTGCCTATGATGTTGCCTCACCTTTTACAAACTCCTTAATTTGTTTCCCTTAGCCTAACATTAGAACTTGACCTTGCTTAGCCTACCTCATCTTAATCTACTCCTCCAAAGCAGCCTAAAGCTTCCCAAAGTCTATACTGTATGAGAACCCTGGTCCAACTAGTTAAGTGTGCTCTCTGCAAAAGCTACCAGTAGCAGATATTTGAGAGGATGGTGCAAGAAAAACTGCATGCCCTACACACAAATGAAGCTTTAAAGCCCCTGGCACGGCTTTACGAGCACTTGTGGTGCTCTGGCAAGGTGCCAGAGGACTGGAAGAGGGCCAATGTGGTTCCCATCTTCAAAAAAGGGAGGAAGGAGGTCCCGGGCAACTATAGGCCACTTAGTCTTACCTTGATCCTGAGTAAGTTTTTTGAGAGCATTATTTTGGCACATGTCCACGAGGGGCCAGCACGGGAGATCATGCTTAGGGGCAACCAACACGGGTTCATTAGAGGCAGGTCCTGTCAGACCAACCTGGTGGCCTTCTATGACCAGGTCACCAAATCCTTAGATGCAGGGGTAGCAGTGGAC